ATATGCTCTACCATTAAGGTTTAGACTTTCTCCAAACCCCAGAAAGCTTCCTTAGATCTAGTCAGAAGTGTTGTCCATATAGGCTAGTTCTCTGTCTTGCATTTGACCAAAGCCAAATGTCTCCACCACCATTAACAAATGAAAATGCTACTGATTTAAATAAAACTCTTCATCCTGCCTTTCAGAGGCTTTGCTTACACACTTACATGATAATGAAAGCCAGTACAGGGGACCATTACTTTTTTGAAAATTACAAAAATAAAAGGCTATATCATAAAAGCTGAAAGAGACAGTAAGTTAAAGTTTTGTTGGTGGCTGGTGGATGTTTATTTTGTGATGGAGACCTTTCAGAGCACCTAAAAAGCCATACATGTCTTTGGAATGGCATACGAGAAGCTGTTCTCCAAAACGTGGATACAGTTGGGGCAAAAAATTGGCAGATCCGGGGAAACAAAACATTAAATACAATGACTATTCTTTATTCTGCAAAATATTTAATACTTTTCCCCTCTGTTACATCAAAATTTCAGTTTGACAGCAGATTTTGGAAGTGGTCTGGACCATCACCTAAACTTTGTGGGTTCATCTGTGGACCTCCTAATTTGCTCCCCTTTGCTGGTCCTTTCCCTTAAGGTATTCTAGCAGCTACATCAGGGAGTCAGCTGAGACTATTTGCATCCAGTAAAAAGTAGGTACGCATTAATATGTTGGAGAACACAAAAATTATAGAAGGCATCCTTCAAAATCATTTCCTTTGAAATGCTGAAAATCATGTTCAGTTCCTTAGTTAAAAGCAAGGCATTTTATTGACCGGAACTGAAGCTAAGCAAGCACGAAACATATAGAAATTATTGTGGAATCTGACTTCCCCATTAAGTTGACATGTTTGAACAAGTTGGAGACTTTCCATACAATAGTTAAATACTTAAAATGTATTTCTGATAGGCAAAACAAGTTTGGACAGACCTACTCAGCTGGATGTGCTACCCAATATTCCACCTACTTTTTAAAAAGGATCAAACCACTTCCAGAGACATAGCAAGCACATTATTTTGCAGCAAAAAAGCAGTGAATCTTTTGACATCTTAAAAATGAGAAAATTTACTCTGACACATCCTGCCATCCTTCTGAAATGAACAAGAGCTGCCCAACATATTAACAGAACGCAAAAAAAAAAAAAGGAAAGGACTCATTCTATTCCCAATTCTTCTCTGCTGTTTGCTTTATGTGTTCAACTATTTGTGAAACATGTATCCTATGCACCAATCATGAAGCACTTACACTTCTGTGGACTTGGACACCTCTCAGTTAATAGCAACAATTTGGGGGGGGGGGGTTGCCTTCGAGTCCATGTTGACTCCTGGTCACTGCCTGGACAAGTCCCTGCAGTTTTCTTGGCAAGATTCTGGAAGTGTTTGCCATTGCCTGCTTCCTAGGGCTGAGAGAGAGTGACCAGCCCAGGATCACCCAGCTGGCTTTGTGCCTAAGGATGGACTAGAACTCATGGTCTCCTGGTTCCTAGCCTGACACCAAACTGTCTCTCAGTAGCAATGGTAGTACTATATGCAAATGCTACAATTCTTTTTTCTTCATAATATCTGTATGCAAGGCTCACTCTAATCGGGTGGCCTTTCCTGCATCAGATGACCTCTCCACAGGCTTTATTCTCCAGAGCTATTTCCCCAGAGATTGGCAACTAAGGCTGCAGGTGATCCCCAAACAACATTTTTGCGTGCCTAAATTCTTTCCAGGCACCATAAGATGAAAACATTGGCATGGTTCCCTGACCTGTTAAGTCAGAAGACACAAACACTGAATCAACTTCCCAGAAGAGGCTTAATAAAAAAATGTAGTCACTTCTCTAAGCTGATTTCTTTTTTCCCCAAGAAGTACTAGGTAAATAAGGTAGTGTACTAGATCTGGATGAAGCCCAATTTTGGAGTGTGTTGTAACTATTCAAAACAGATGTTTATTTAGTGGAGCCTAGAGTAGATGATTCTAAGGTTGTCATTTTGAATCAATGCTCCTTCTGGCTTGAGTGCATGCCTGTCCAAGCCAAAGGTAAACTGAGATGGGGTTTAGGAGGAAAGATGGGTGTGATCCATCCATTGTGACTGGCTACACCCATTGCATCAGGGACCCTTTTTGAGGGAATCCTCATAATTCCCAATGTGTCTTCTGCCCCCACCCCACCCCAAATGTTGACTGTCTCTGATCACTGTCCCTGATTAGCAGCAATCCAAGACTTCATACATGTGCTTAATCCAGCTGTACTAGGGATTGAATGCATGTGGAAACTCAAGGGAGAGTAAGTAGAAGAAGATTCAGCTTCCCTCATGAATCAAATTGCTTAAAGCAATTAAGCAGATCAAAAAAAGCATTCAAATTTGAGTATATCGCTTGGTTGTTTCAAACAGCTTTTCTCACCCTGCAAGAGGAGGGGGTCTGTCTCCCGTAATTCCCAGTCAGCCCAATTTCCTTTTACTGAGTTGCGAATAATGATGTCTCTCCTCTGCATTCATGAACCAGCACATAGGTGCAGGTTCAGACCCATACGCTTTCCATTAAGCTGCATTGAATGATATGCATAACACAATTAACGCCAATTGTTCCTTCATTCCTGCCGTGGCTCTCCCTAATTGCTCAATTGGTCACAATGGCCCACATCAATTAAATAGGCCACGCTGCAACAGGAACTGTGTGCATGCGTGTACCTGTGTGCATGTCTCTGCATTTCAAATGAAAGCAAATGTTCAGGAGCAAACAGCAGAATTTCTGAGATGCTGCTTTTCACATAGTTTCCCCCATTCTGATCTAGCAGTTTCACGGGCTTTGGCTGGAGCAGAGTCTGTCTGGCTGCAAATTTTGCTTACTGGTTGTATTAGATCCAATATTAACCCTCCGTAGCCATTTAGATTTCATTTTAAATTCAGCTATTGGTCATGTCATGTAGCACCCAGACAACAGCTTCCATTCCCGTGCATGAAAGGGCTTTGTTTAAAGGACTCAGACACACACGTGTTGCGAGGGCATGGAAAAGAGATCAAAAGATTCCTTATCTCAGCTGGCTTTCAAGTACCTTATGCTCAATTCAGGAAGTGGCCCATGGGCTCCAGGATGGTATACTCTTATTCTTGATGGATCTCCTGCAGCTGAAGGTGAGCTTTTCCTTAACTCTGCTGTACAAGATCCTTTAGTAAGCAATGCAAAGGGAGCAATTTTGAAGGCATGGGGCTAACCCTTAAGAAACAGCCTCACCTGGGGAAAAAGTTCCACTTCCAGATCTATGGAGGACTTTGGGAAGGTATGGAACTTTCTCCTGATAAATCAGGGCATTTGACATCTTTGTTAACTCACCAGAACCAGTTTCTGAACAGCAGTGGACAATCTGTCCCTTCATTCCGTTACAATATCTTAGATTGTAAACTAGAAGTGGCAAGTGCAGTAGTCAACTTGCAAATTTTGCATTCGTGATTTCAATAAAGACCTGTCCCTGGGGGACATGGATGTTGTCACCAGCCGTCCAACGGCACTTGCAACTCCCAACATTAAACAAAAATAAATAATGCTTCTAATTTTAAAAAAAAAATCATTGAAATTGCACAGGGTTATACTAGTTCTCATCACAACACAGAACATAAGAAGATTTTTAAGTATTCCTATGAAGAACTCACAGGATTCTAATATTCCCGTGAGAGAATACTTTCAAGGTTTAGTGGTTTTATGAGAGCTGAAGGGGGAGGTAGGGGGGTGGAATGAGAAGAAAGAAAGAACTGGGCTTAAGAAGCTTGTAACTTTGTTCATACCTCTATATAAATTCTTTTGGAAAAAGCAAGAGAATGGTGTTCTAGTCCGTGGATAACTTACAGATAATTAGTTTAAGAAATTAACTTAGTTTCAAAAACATCTTAGCAATCATAAGGGCTAAAAACTTGGGGGAGGGTAAAAAAAAAAAAAGAAACTTCACATTTTCAGAGAACTGAATTACTATGGATTTTCCATGTTGCCCCAGAATACCCATAGCTTGGATTAGTGCTACCCTTTGCGAAGTGTTGGGCTCTAAGCTTAAAATAGTGGCTTACTTTTGATTTGCCCATTGAGGGAAGAGTTAAAGTGATGTGTGATATTCAAATTATATCACATGAACTTCCCACACTGCATTACCCCTTAAGGACCCACTGTGCTATACAGTGTTATGACAATCCATAGGAACTCAGTATTCAATATTCATAGGAACTCAATCCCAATCTTAAAAAGGATCCACTGAAATGAGAGGTGAACTCTGAACTTGCAAGGACTCCACAGCTTGTGTGGAGCTCTAGAACAAAGTTTCTCCATCCTGTCCCATTCATGCCTAGAGTCTCCCCCAGGTTCAAACTATGCCCCCCCCCCATTTAGTCTGTCCAGCCAAAATATGGATTTCTGCTAGATGTTTTCTTCTAACCCATCTAGCCTTGATTTGGGAATCAAAGCACAGAAAATAAAGAAAAGCATTATGCAAGGTATTGTGCCAAGTAAGAGCTCCAGAAGCAGGAGGATTCCTAACCCTAACTTCTTAAGCAAGGCCTGAGCAATTTTAAAGCCTTAAATTTCAAGAGTCCTTCAAAAGTCACAGAATGCTGCCATACAAGAAATTAACCATTTATTCTCTATCTAATTTCTATTGCTGCAGCCACAGAGAACTAATGGGGAACCCTTCCTTGCCACAACTAAATAGCTTCCACAGAGTTGGGAGTTATCCACAAGGTCACCTAGTCCTTCCTCCTGCTCAGGGCAGGTTCATCCATTAGATATCTCTAACACCTGTGTTATTCCTGTGTTTGTAATGATAAGTCAGGGTGTAATTTGAGACCTGAAGCTGAGGTAGATTGCTTGAGAGCATTTTGGAGTAACTTCAAAGGAAGATTTGGAGATTCAAGGAAGCAGATGTGATCTTTGAGAGCGTTATGCAAGCACTGTTTCTCCATGCTGATTGTCTCTCTATTTTCTTCTCTCATCAGGAGGACAAGAGGACTGCATTCTGTCCTATGAACCTGTAACAAGGCAGGAAAGTAAGCAAGCTCTGGTGTGCTCCATAGTAGGCTTGGGCTAACCATACCAAAGCCAGCCAATTTATATAGCAAAACAAGGTGGCTGGGCTGTTAAGGTGGGGTGATACCACTTTACACTGTAGGTTATAGGGACTACCATTTTTAAATTTGTGCTCCCCTCCTAAAAACTCCCTCCCTAACTCTATCATGGCAGAATGAGAGGTTCTAGCTCTCTTTGCTTTTGCTCAAGTTCCACTTGCATTTTTTAACTCCACCTTCTCATTTTCTGCAAACACAGATCTAGCCTCTGCCCAGCTCCATGCATGAGAGAAGCAGGAGGTGGAACCTTGAGGCAGGTCTGTGCAATGAAGCATTGCAAATTCCAATTCAGAGAGAGCAATTCTTTAATATCCTACCATCTAGACACACTTTCATTCATAACAGAGTGGTTGAATATAGAGCAAACGTCTTGCTTTCACATTTTAATATTCCACTTTGTTAGTCGTTGTAATGATTATTTAAACCATATAACTTCAAGCCTGATCAGTTACAGCTTTTGAGATCACGAGGAGCTGTTTGATCTGCACTGTGTCCATGCAATTTCTCAGTATAGATATTTTCTCCATTGTATTTTACATATAGCCCAGAGCTAAGGTGTTGAATCCATTCACATTTCTTTAGGACAAATTCTATAAAATATATGTAGCTGGTATCTTCAATCCCATTCAAAGAACGTGATGGAAGAGATCATTAAAAAAAACAACCCTAATCTGTCCAATGTCCCATATACTGTTAGAAAGACTTTGCTAGATTTCATGACTGCACAATTCAGCATTTGTTTTCCAATAAGGAAAACCCAGACTCATAGAAAGATAATGGCCATCACATCTTTTGGAGAACAATTCAATGAAGAAGCATTCCAACAGGCTTTTGGAAGAGGGATCGTCAGTTGCATCTCATAAAATTCCCAGTTATGAAGCCTTTGTTTTGGGAAACATCATCTGTCCATTGTTCCATGTATTAAATCTAAATGCATAATCCAAACTGATTGAATTCAACTGATATCTACTCAGAATTAAATTGTAGGCATCAACCTCTCACCATTGCTTGCTGAAAAAGCTACCTCCATCATCACCTTTTCTTTCTGCATTTCAGTTAATTACACCAGGCCGGTTATCATCCTCGGTCCAATGAAAGATCGGATTAATGATGATTTGATATCTGAATTCCCTGACAAATTTGGCTCCTGTGTCCCACGTAAGTATTACGCTTCAGGAGGCATCTCTGTCAACACTTCTGGGTTAGAATCAGGTGCAGCATGCTAATTTGCCTCTGTGGTTGTCCTCTCTCTGAAACTCTTATAAAATTAGCAGCCATGTTTATTTTATGCTAATGTATCCCTCAGAAACCAGTGGGGTAGTGGCCCTCATCCTCTGTTGGACAATAGACACGTTTGAAAATGTCTTGAGCATGTTTACAAAATGGTTACCATGAAGGAAAGAGCTTGCTCATTCCAAAATGGCTGCCCCTAGGTCATGGTTAGTCATAAAATACCCTTTTAACAAGAGGCAGACTAGAGATGTTCCCACAGCCCCATAATGATCCCTGACATCCCTGGCTTGTCTTTAGCTTCTTTCTAGGTAAGTAGACATCATTCTGTAACAAATCTTTGGGCTGTACCTCTCCCCCTTTTTTTATTTTCTAAGAACTACTTGGTGTTGGAAAGCAGTGTTGGAAAGAAGGATGACCCTAGAATCTGATGCTTCACTTTGCAAATCCCTATGCTCTGCTTAATGTTTAACGTGAAAGAAATTCTGCAATATTCTTTGCAGAATGATGTCTGGAGCTGTTCTGCTTGATATTTATCAGTTCAGCTGCTGAAAATATCCCCAAGACTGATGAAGTCCAGGGGGACATGGGGGTGTACAACCATTTCTGCATGTATCAGCTCATGTATGGCAATGATCTCAGAATAAGAATGTAAAGAAGGAGAATCAGAAAAGAAGAATTCCTGTGTCTTGGTGCACTTAGCGAAACCTCTTTCATTTTTTGTTACCCCCAAGATACCACTCGACCAAAGCGTGATTATGAAGTGGATGGTAGAGATTACCACTTTGTCATCTCCAGAGAACAAATGGAAAAGGACATTCAAGAGCACAAATTCATCGAGGCTGGCCAGTATAACGATAATCTGTATGGAACAAGCGTGCAGTCCGTGAGATTTGTGGCCGAAAGGGTAAATGACCCAGATGGTACAAATGCAGAAAGCGCTATATCATAATGAATCATACTAAATGCAGTTCTAGGTCTAAATTCTTTTCATTTAGGGAAAGCTAAGAAGCAGCTTACAGATTTATAAAAGTGTATGATTTCTGTCCTCTTGAAAGAGTTCCATATAAGGATGCAAATAACACATTGTATTCAATAGCAAGCATGTGGGTGAGTTTTGCTAACGCGGAGCCAAATATTTCTTCTTTATTTTTTTCTCCAACCATTCTTATTCAAAAAGAAACTCCCCCAAAGGAGAAGAAAAATTAGATATAATGGTAGTGACTGGGTTTCCTGCACTTATCTTAATTATAAAGGAAGCAAATTATCTTTCATTACATCAACTTCTCCCCAGCAGATCTGCAGCCTCTCTGGCTTCTCCTCCTTCCATCCAGTCACAAAGGAAAACCTCACAAGGAAACTCCTATCTGTGAGCTTTCTTAGCTTGGGAAAAATAAGCAGCCAGGGAAGCTACAGAGTGATAGGAAGACAACCCCAGCACAACCCCAACCCTCTTGGTCCCCCCCTCCACCCCCAAACCCTAAAGTAAAATTCCAGTCATTGCCCCAAAGACTTTCTCAAGCTTCCTGAGAATGGGGCAGAAAAACAGAAGCCTCTTTTGCAGGAGAGGAACCCTTTCAGGAATTGCAAGGAGGGTTTCCAACACAGGGTTAAATTTCCCCCTAACATTAGAGCAGTGTTTCTCAACCTTGGCGACTTGAAGATGTGTGGACTTCAGCTCCCAGAATTCCCCAGCCAGCAAGCTGGCTGGAGAATTCTGGGAGTTGAAATCCACACATCTTCAAGTCGCCAAGGTTGAGAAACATTGTGTTAGAGGTAGAAGTGTGCAGGGAATGTAAAGAAGACATGAAAGGTAAATCATTTCTGACAGTACAACAAAGCTAATATTAAAATAGGCAATTAAAATTGGAAATCCAATACAGTAGTTCTTGTAACCAGCCCACAGGCATTGAAAGAACATGGGAGGGTTCTGGCCCATCTAGACCAGACCAGACCCCTTCCTTTTGCCCACATCTGCATTCAGAGCTCTTCTGTCCATTTTTTGAACCACTTTGGAAGAGCTAGTGTGTGTGTGTGTGTGGAAAATGTTTTCATGTTAGAGGAAATCCTGCTCGTTCAGAGTCACTTTTAGTGTGGAGACCCTGGTCTACCTGGGCCAGCGATCTCACTTAGACTAAGCACTTCATATATTCCTAAACTGTGCTGTTTTTTTTTTTTTTAAAGAGCATCTTCCCTAGTTTATTTATTTGCTAGGTTTACATTCCACTGTATCTCCAGCAGCCCAAGACGGTATAGATGGAGGTCTCCCTTCATTTTGGCCCTCCAACAATTTTGTCCCCACTCTACAACAACAAGCCTGTGAGGTAGGACAAGTTGATTAGAGGGCCTGGCTCAAAATCAGTGACCTTCCATAGCTGAGGGGGAGCACAAACCTCAGTCTTCCATTCCTAACGAGTTGCACGAGAAAATGCCTCAGATGTTGTAAACAAAGCTGAGAAAGATGAGGGACGAAGATGAAGCTGGCCAAGATGAAGGGAAGTAAGATGTAACCATGCCAGATTTAGGCAGCTCCTCCAAGAAACTCCATTCCAATGAAAATCACATTTAAATGAACAGAAGGTTTGGACAGATACTGCTTGTCCTCATATGGCATCTGTTACTTTACAGGGGCCTGTACAGAAGAACTGCGAGGCTGCTTGCTAATTTTGAAACAGGTCCACCTTGCAAGTTCTGCCTTTTTTGTCCCCTGAAATGCCGCCAGCACCTCAAAAGTAAAACCTTCTTCCTCTCCTTTCATTAGGGCAAACATTGTATCCTTGATGTATCAGGAAATGCAATTAAACGACTTCAAGTTGCACAACTCTATCCTATTGCTATCTTCATTAAGCCTAAGTCCTGGGAGCCCTTGATGTGAGTACTGTCTCCTCCGGCCTACTTTTTCACCCTGGGGTAAAGCTTTCTAGAACTCCGATCTCCCATTGCAAGGATTAACGTGCCACCTCATTTATATGCATGGATGTAGGAAATAGAGGACACTTCTTGGGTTCAAACACATCATGAACACTGACATTTGATCTCCTGGGGCTAGTAGTGTAGATTTGGGTTAACGGAAGGCCCCGACCCCCATTGCTGAATGGAGCTGTCTGACTTTTGAGCAGTAGGACTTCCATAAAAAGATGGAAACAACATTTTAAAGTCTGAGTTATCAATCACTCCATTAGCGCAGTGTTGTCCAAACTTGGCCACTTTAAGATGAGTGGACTTCAACTCCCAG